GAGGTCGTTTTCCCTGTTTCAGATCATGGACAATAACCATCAATTACCTAGCCCCAACTATCATCAATAATCATATATCCAAAAATTTTACCACTCATGTTCTTATCATTAGCCTAAATACATCCTTGATACATCCAAATCAAACACAATACTTCATTTGCAAAATTCGAATACTCTAAACCATATTCGACGTTGCCTTCGACCTTGACGTGAAAGGTTGATAGTTTTGAGGATTTGGTCCCAAATCTATTTCAATTCATATTTGATTAATTTACTTTATTGATTTAACTTTCTTGAAGTTTACTAACGTGTGTATTGTTTTAATAACAAAAGAAAGTTTACTAACGTGTGTATTGTTTTAATAGCCAGAAGGTTGAGGCATCAAAGTAAGTAATTCAATTGCCCTTTTATTTATTCTTTTGATTTGGAGTAGAAACCATATTTAGGATGTTATTATGATTTCTAGTATCACGTTTAGGATAATGCTTTGATTTTGTTATTAGTGCCATGCATTACAAAAAAATAGACATTTAGCAGCAGATCAAATCCGTTACTAGAGTGTACTTTTCTGTCCCTAAATATAGGTAGCGACAGATTTTAAAACGGAATTACTCCGTTAGCAAAACTGTTGTCGCTAAATGAGACTAGCAACGTTGTATTTGTTTTTCATTGCTGAACTTAGCAATGGATTTTTATTTCCATCGATGGTTTTAGCAACGGATTTTAATTTCCGTCGCTGCTTTTAGCAACGGATTATTTTTATATGTCGATGGTATTAGCAATAGAAAAAAAAACCCCGTCTCTAAGTTTAGCAACGGGAAAAAAAAAAATCCGTCGCTCATATCAGCACCGGAAAAAAAAATCCATCTCTAAATTTAGCAACGGAAAAAAAAAAATCTATCTCTAAATTTAGCAACGAAACAAATTATTTTGTGTCTAAAAGTAGATGCTATTCGGTTCGACCTCACTCAGGTCAACCCGACTCGGATTTACATGTAAAGCTCCTTGAATCCCCAATCTCAAGAATTGGGATAAGTAGGAGTCGAACCCTTGACCTCAAAGTCACATAGTGAAACTCTTACCACCTATACCAATATTATTTGTTTACTTTTACGCACATAATTGATAATAAGTGAAAGAAATATTAGAGACCGTATTTAAAATGCGTCACTAGTTTAGAAACGGATTTTTAAATCCATCGCTAGTTTAGAGATGAATTTGAAAATTCGTTTCTAGTTTAGAGACGGATTTTAGTTTACATAATTCGTTTCTAATTTTACATAATTCGTTTCGAAAATAATTTAGAAACATAATTAAAAATCCGTAGTTCATATCAGCAACGGAAAAAAAAAATCCCTCTCTGAATTTAGCAGAGGAAAAAAATTTGTTTCTAATTTAGCAACGGAAAAAAATCCCTTTCTAATTTAGAGACGGATTTTCAATTCCGTTTCTAATTTAGTGACGGATTTTCAATTCTTTTTCTAATTTAGAGACGGACTTTTTTAATTCCGTCTCTAATTTAGAAACGGATTTTTTAATTCTGTTTCTAAATTAATTTAGAGACGGATTTTTTAATTCCGTCTCTAATTTAGAAATAGATTGAATTCCGTCGCTAGAATTCGTTTCTATATAGACATTTTATTGGAGTGATGCTAGGATTTGTTATTAATCCGTTAAGTATCATGCCTAGGATCTTACTACTAACGATGTTTTGATGATGTTCTTATGATGACGATTGTTATATCAATTATATGTTGCTTGATTATTCATGATTTATTGATATTGCTTGATCACGCCCTTTCTTGCAAGTGTAAATGAATTTGTACTTGAAATCACGCTTAATAAGATAAATAAAAATTTTAATTTAGGTTCAATATAATTTTAATTCAAGTGATCACCAATATTAGATTTGATTGTGCATTAATAAACAACTCATTCAACCGACAAAGATGAAACAAGTTTAGGATTAACTGTATGTTGATCGAAAAGTGGACATGAATATCAAAAGGATCAAGTAGAAGCCTATTTAGGGCTGGTTTGGCATCACTTAGGTCAAATTGGTACTACCATCCCCGAACATCCCGTCATGGTTCCGGATCGCTATGGAGTTAGCAATCTCTGTGATGGTGAATGAGGTGTAAACTTCACACCCGTGAACGGTTTACAAATTAATTCCCAAAACTAGTCAGCGACTGTTTTAGACTCTTTTCCTTGGAGCATCGCCATGCTTAAAAACATGACACCACAGTAGGACAGAGTTGAAAAATTCCCTACATTGTGTTTGTGGGAAGCATAGCAGATCCTCTTTTCCTACTAGGAAGGCATGGAGAGCATTTGAATGTCTTGTACTTGTGCATGCTGATTTGTGTGGGCCTATGAAAACTGAGTCACTTGGTGGAAGTCGATATTTCTTGTTGTTAAATGATTAGTCACGCATGAGTTAGGTTTATTTCTTAAAATTCAAAAATGAGGCATTTGAGAATTTTAAGAATTTCAAGGCGTCAGTGGAAAACCAAAGTGGCAGCCAATATAATTGCTCTCCGAACTGATAGAGGGGGTGAGTTTGTGTCTGATCAGTTTACTGCCTTTTGTGATGAGCATAGAATTCGAAGAGATCTTATAGCACCATACACACCTGAACGTACAGAATGGGGTGGCAGAGCGAAAGAATCGAACGGTGGTAGAAATGGTCAAGAGTATGTTTGATAAAACAGGGATTCCGTATAAATTTTAGGGAAAAGCTGTGTCTACTGCAGTGTATCTTCTAAATATATCACCAACAAGGGTGGTTTTCAACCGAACACCATTTGATGCATGAAGAGGTAAGAAACACGGGGTAAGCCACTTGAGACTTTTTGGTTGTGTAGGCTATGCTTTGGTTAATAACCGTTCTAAACTTGATGATAAATCTGATAAATGCATCTTTATTGGTTATTGTTCTCAATCCAAAGCATATCGCTCATATAACCCTGAAGTGGCAAAGTGATAATAAGCAGGAATGTGGTGTTTAATAAGGAAGCTAGTTTCAAGTGGAATGTCGACAAGGATGGCATAGCTCATTATGTTCCTCTAAATGGTGAAGATGATGAACCATCAGAATCAAAGTCAATTGCAAATTCAACATCCTCCTCACCCGCAACCACTCCACCATCAACTCCAAGCAGCAACGCCCACAAGTCACCTAGCTCTCCTGGCAGCAATGACAGTCGTGACACCCTAGTAAGAAGAAGTAGATCCCTGGCAGAGCTTTATAGTTCCTGTAATTATGCTCTACTGGTCACCGACCCTACTTTCTTTGAGGAAGCTGAAGAACAACCTAAGTGGAAAATTGCTATGAGAGAAGAAATGGCATCTATTGAGAGATACAAATCATGGGAGTTGGTTGATGCTCCAGAAGACAAAATGTGATAGGGCTGAAGCGGGTGTTCCGAACAAAATATAATGCTGATGGAAGTAATCAAAATCACAAGGCTAGGCTCGTGGCAAAAGGATACTCCCAAAGCAAGGTGTTAACTTTGATGAGACATTTTCTCCCGTTGCTCAATTTGAGACGGTGAGAATAATGTTTGCATTGGCTGCCAGCTCAAGTTACTTGTGTATCAACCCGATGTGAAGTCTCCGTTTTTGAACGGTGATCTAGAAGAAGAGGTGTATATGACCCAACCAGAAGGCTTTGTCGTAAATGGCTCTGAAGACAAAGTATACAGATTGAGAGCTCTTTATGGCTGAAGCAGGCACCACGAGTCCTTGAGCATGGTACAGCAGAATTGATTTCTACTTTTTGAACAACGGATTTACAAGAAATGAAAATGAGCCCACTTTATACTTCAAACGTGAAGATAATGGTAATTTTTTACTTTACCTTTACGTAGATGATATGAATATTATGGGTTCATGCGAGTCTTTAGTTCAGACTTTAAGTTTAGTATGATGAAGACTTTTGAGATAACAGATTTGGGGTTGTTGCAATATTTTTTGGGTCTTGAAGTAAAGCAAAACTTGGATCGAATTTTTAGATTGCAGTCACACCAATGAATGTCAATGAAAAGCTAGAACATGAAGATGGAACAGAAGCAGCAAATGCAAGGCTATTTAGAAGTCTAGTGGGTGGTTTAAATTACTTAACACACACTAGACCCGACATTGCTTTTCCAGTCAGCTTGGTATCCAGATTTCTGCATGATCCTACCAGGCAACACCTTGGTGCAGCCAAAAGAATACTTCGTTATGTTGCTGGAAATATAGATGTTTGGTACTCAAAAACATCATGTTTTAAACTTGTGGGCTTCACTGGAAGTGATTGGGCAGGTAGCATTGATGTCGTAAGAGCACTTCAGGAAGTGTTTTTAGCCTTGGTTCAGGTGCAGTAACATGGAGTTCAAAGAACCAAGAAACAGTAGCTTTATCTTCTTCTGAAGCTAGCTGAATACGCAGCAGCTACTTCAGCAGCATGTCAGGTTTTGTGGCTCAGAAATTAATTTCTGATCTTAGTTATGTGCAAGCAGAAGCTACTGATGTTTTTTGTGACAATAGGTCAGCTATTGCAATGAGCAAAAATCCTGCATTTCATGCAAGAACTAAGCACATAGATGTGCAGAATTACTTTGTTTGACAACTTGTAGCTGATGGGAAAATTGTTCTGAAATTTTGTAGCACTAATGAGCAGGTGGCTGACATACGTACTAAGGCACTTCCTCGAGCCAAGCATGATTTCTTCTGGATGCAAGTAGGAGTATGCAACTTTGAATCAAGGGGAACTGTTGAATGACTACTTCAAAGTTATTGCTACGGAGTAATATTTAGCTAAGTTTGTTTGTTAGTAGTAGCTTAGGAAGTGGGTTAGTAATTTTATGCAGTAAAATTAGGAAGTGGGATTATGTTCCTTATTCTTTAGTTTGTTTTGTTAGTGTGGTACACTATTTAAATTGATGTACTGTGCTTCTTTTAATTCAAGTCAATGAAGAATTAGCTTTGCTATCTACTGTATTATATTCTTGCTTCAACAATTTCTAGATAAAATGGAGACATGTAAATAGAAATTCCACTAGTAAAACTGTAAAGCCATATCTTATACACAAGATTTCAATCACAATTATCAAACTTTAACAGTTACCAATACTTTCTATGTTATTATAATTACCTTAAGGTATCACACAATAAATATTAAAATTCAAAGACTAATGATATATAGCCTCAATCTCGAAATCAAATATTGTCCAACTTCATATTGAGATGCTATTCGGAATTCCTTTGCCTGTAAGTCCCCCAACTTTGGTGTAATCTGATGTGTTTGGATACAGTAAAGTGTACGGAACTTTAACAGGTCCCAGTCGATTTTTGAGTTTCTTGTCATTGTTCCTTTCTGTGATATTCTTTTCAATATCTGATAGCTTCATCTGAAATCTCTGAAATGCAGCTAGTGGATCAGAATCAGATGTCCACTCAGGGGTATCCCTCTGCCCAAGGTAGATCTCATCTGTAGAGTGACGCGACAAAATTTCAATCAATGAAACACCGAGGAGTGTCTGAAATTGAGCTGTTATTGTTTTCAGAAAGGCTCTCTCAGGATCAGACTCTACTTCAGCATATTCTGGAGTGCCTGGCTGAGGCATAAATCGCCTGCTTACAGTAGGCCGGTTTGGGAGGTATCCTGCATAAGGATACTGTCCAAAATTGACAGCAGCATGGAGTGCAGAAGCAACCCATATGATGATTGTGCATGTCTTTGTAAGATCATGCCTGGTTTTCATTTCCGACCACCATGTTTCATCTTTCTTATCACCATGGCCCTCATAGCGGATTTCTTTCCACCACGATTGAAGTTCAGGATCTTTTTCTACTATGTCGTCTGTTGGGTAGTAGAAAGAGCAGTAATCATTCACCCATGTCTCAATTGCAGACCAGATTTCTAGCCCGTCAACTGCAAATGGATAATCCTCAATCAACAGCTTCAGACCATGGGGTTGGCTGGAATCCTGAACTGCTACCCCTCTGAAAAGATGCAAAAACAATGTGGTCAGACTGGGAAAATCATGGTACAAGCTGCACATTAGTTCTAAATAATATATCAGCATGGATATACCTTTTAAGGAGATCAGCAGGAAGTGCTTCGTCATTAAAAACCCAACTTTTGTATATAAATGAGGACATTTCCATTGCATATTTTGCTGGGAAGACTGTTCGTTCCAATACTCCACCAGCATTGATGAGGATTTGCCTAGCCAAGGCATTAATGTTCATTGTGTCGCGAAAATGGGGTTGCAAAAGCTTGTGAATTGGGTGAATAACACTCAACTGTCTATTAGTTGCAATTATAAATGGTTCTATTATAGCGTGGGTGTACAACCTGCAACAATAGTTGAGTGTTCTGGTAAAATTTCTGAAACCTGAAGTATCAATTCATGCATAAGGTCAATGTAGCGCCTTTGTATGGCAAGAATTTTACCAATGACATATGAGCTGATGAGTGCCAGAATCATTGACAGCCGAGTAGGCTTTAGCTAATTGCCACACTGAGGCTTCAACACCCTCTTCGGCAGGAGTATAAACTTGACTAACAGCACCATGTTTTTCACCCTGTGGATGAGGCAAGCTGAGTTCAATTCCCAATGGCTTCAGTGTACCATCATACTTCAGAAACAGGATTGTCCTTGTCGCGTATGTCTTTGTGGGAGTAGAGTTTATCCGCGATAGGTATGGCATCAAAGTATCATGATGATCTAATATATACAACCTGTTGCTTTTAATTGCCTGTGGTACACCATCATAACAGAGAAGTCGAGAATCAGCAAAGGGAAAATAAGAGTGTGTTTGGATTGAAGGAAATGGAAGGATAGGAAGGGAAGGGAAATGGAGGGAGAGAGTTTCTTTCATTTGGATAAAAATTTAGGGATGAAGGGAATTGGAGGGGAGAGAAATGGAGGGATTAAATTCCAAGAAAATGATCCCTCCAACAATGGAGAGATTTGGAAGGAAAACTCATCCTTCTTCCTTCCCCTTCCTTTCCCTTCCCTCCCCTTCACCTCCCTCCCTTTCTCTTCCTTCCCTTAACATTACCCAAACAAACTGTAAATAAACTTATCAATAAATCTATTATAAGTACAGACAGATTAGAAATGGCAGCCTTACTTTATCTGTGGAGTATCCATCCATGTTCTTTTCTATGTGCTCCCTGGTTATTTTACTGTTTTGATCGCCGTAGAGTTTTGGATCCAGCTTGCTCTTTGGAGGAAATTCCTACGAAATATATAGCCGTGTTATTTTATGAATGTAATTGCTAAGAGTTATCATCAAAACTATATGATTTATCAGAAGCTTTTATATTACTTCAAGACGACTGATGAGAACAGGATTCACTCCAGCTAACATTTCTCGACCAAACTCTTCATCAGTTCTCCAAGCAGAATCATCCTCTAAGATATATAACAAAATAAAGCCAATTTTAAGACAGAAATATTAGCCTTCACTCAATATGTTGATAAATAATTCGTAAAAAGATATTTTCAATGCAAATTCAAGTTTTATGATACCTTTGATCACATCAGGTATAGGGAATTTGAGAAAATGTTCACCATCACTTCGGATAAGTTCCTTAAGCATTTCCCATGGGACCCTATCTTTGAGTTTCGTGAGTGCCCCGTCTGGTAGCTTGAAACCTCCCTGGTAGAGATTAATGACATCTTCGAATGAGTCAAACTCATTAGGTGTTTTGTCACATATGGATTTCAGCTCTGGTAGTAATATCTGAACAAGAGATTTCAAGGCGTATGCCAGAAAATCTGAAAATTTGATGTGTCCAAACCGCTCATCTCTTGGAACATATATATCAAGACTAAGAAGAGGCAATCGGCTTTCTGTATTTGGATCTGCAAAACACAATTAACCAACTTTTGTTACAATTATTGATTGATGCAACGCAGCTAATACACTGAATACTACTGATTGTAAATATGATGCTAACTTCTCATAAGAAAGTACTGAATGTTTACTGACCAGCTTTTGTTGGTTTACGGCCTGTTTTCCCTCTACGTGGATAAGGGTATTCACTCGAGCCCCCAAGAACAGGACGCGCATACTCTTTTCCCTTGTCAGGCAATCCTAAGTCATTGTAGTAATCATAGTCGTATACTCTGTCCCATTCTTTAAGCATGCCTTTTCCATCACCTCGTAGATTCACAAGCTCTTCTTCCCTATATTTGCGTAGTGCTTCTGGTGTCTCATACGGAAGATAGGTCTGATGAAGCAAAGCACATAAAAATCATCAAAAGTTTCATACTATAGATATTAATGTGACAGAGTTACATGATTTAAATTTTTTCTTCATGATACTTTTTTCCCTCATAATCTCATGGTCACTCATTTTACTGCATAAGTTAGAAATGATTGTTACTCGTTCAGATGTGTTACTGAGATTATCAACGCAGTCCTTTGTTTTACTTGAATCACTCTCTTCCGTTTACCTGACTTATTCTAATCTGATTAGATATAAGGGTTGAAGTATGAGATTGAGTTTTACAGATTCTCAATGACAAAAATGTGTTTTCCCAGACCACTACAATTAGTGCAGTTTGATGTGGAAAAGAATTCTGTTAGAAAAGTGATGATGTTCTCTCAAAGCAATAGCAGAAATTTTCCATTTTAGTACTATGCAGAGACTAGAGACTTCCATTCCCTAAAATAACCACCTATTGGCTATGTTATTAGACATTAGTACTCATGTCACATGGTCACAGGATAACACGGTTAGGTGTCCAAGTATCAGGCCTTGTTTGGTTGGATGTAGGAAGTAGAAATTCCCATGAAATTTCAATTTCTATGAAATTGTAATTCCTAGGAATTTCCAAAAATTGTTTGGTTGAATGTAGGAATTTCCACTTCCCATGGGAAGTTCCACTTACATAGGGGGGACTAGGTAAGTTCATTCCTCTATTTTGTGGGAAGTGGAACTTCCTAGAAAGTCCCAATTCCTACATTATTGTCAACCAACCTAGCATGCATAAATTCATTTCCTAGGAAATTAAAATTCCCATGGATTTGTTTGTCAATCAAACAAGACCTCATACTCACCATACTCATAAAAAGATGGAATTTTTATTTTATTTATCTACAAAATCAATAGTTTAGTGCACATGCCTAATTTGTAGAAGATACACACTATGTATGTGGATTCAAATGCAACTGGATAAAACATCTTATCTTGTTTCTATAGTGTTAAAATGTGCTTTATTATGGATTAACATTTTTTTTATAAAAACAATGTTATGTGTTTTAGGATGATATTTGTTTCCTTTATACTTATTTGTTTATGTTGTGATTGTTGTCTATGTGCTTTTTTTTTTTTTTTGTGCTTTTATTATGATATTACTACACGCTTTTGTTCATTACATGTAAGCTCTTATTCAAAACTAAACTAGAATCACTAAATATACTGTCTCGAACAATATATTTTTTTTTTTGAATAGTTGTCCCGAACAATATATATTTCAATCTTTGACTTGTTCATAAAAAAAAAATTCAAATAATAAACAAGATATAATTGCTGGCAGAAAATAAAATCTAAAAAAAACTTTATGTCAGATTAGTTGCATGTACTGTACTGTAGAACTGCAACTGCATACAACCAACTAGGTGTAGTTTCTGAATTCTGATGCATACCCACCCTAAGTTATGCTCTAGCTCTACTATTTTCTTTGTTCACTAATTCTGTACAAAACACCATATTTGGTCAATCTCTCAAGGAACGAACTAATCTATGGATGGTGATGATGAAGATAAGGTGTAATAAACTAGCTTATTTCTCTATCACATTATTGCGAATCGGTCCATGGATCTTTGTGACGACGATGGTGGTTGTGCTAATGCTATAAATGCACTGACATTATAACATTATTGTACAAGTAGTCAATAATGCTAGCTCTGTCTCTGTCTATAAAATTGGTGAATGTATGAAGGTGGTGAGGCCGGTGATCAAGCAATTTACAGGTGGTAGCTAATATTGTAAGATTGCTGATATTGTTTAGAAATCCCCTCATATAACACACTAGTTTTTTTTTTTTTTTTTTTTTTGAAGCAATAACACACTTGTTTGGGGTAAAATTACCCCAGCCACGTGGCCCAATGGCTGAGCGACACGTGGCACCTTGCCATTGGTCAGCAGGGCACCAATCCCCTGCTGACACGTGTCCTAAGAACCCTAAATGGGGAACCAATTCTCCCCACTATAAATAGTGGGAGAGTTCTCATTAATGAGGCATTCAATTACCTTCAATTCCTCCCAATTGGCATTCAAGACTATCATAAATACATTTACGCTAAAATCGAGCAATCTTAATTGCGGAATTCTCCCATTACGCGAGAAGTAATTTTACGCTTTACACACTTTCTTCCTCCCGTACATCACTGACTTGATCGTCGAAGGCGGAGCTCCACCCAACCGGAGTCGTCGTGGTTTTGCAGGTACAGGCGGTCGAAGGGCATTCTTGGAATTGTAACTCTCCCGCAGGACACATCAATAAACCCCGAAACATTTGGCGCCGTCTGTGGGGAGAGTACTTCTGAGATGGCTTCTAACCCTGTACCACGGGATCAGGACAGGCGGCCATCGGCTGAGCCTGAGGTCCAGACGGACCATGAAAGCGGTGATGAGTACGACCTCAACACCTATGTGGCCCCAGACGGGTCCTTCAGAACAAAGCACACCGGTTCCAGGGATAAGAAGGAACGGGAAAACATCCAAGCTGCTCCAAGCAACCCAGCCGGCAACATGGTAGGGGTTGCCCAGGCGGCAGAGGATTCTGCTCCCGTTACTAGGAACGAACTCATGACCTTCATGAAAAGTTTCAAGGGCGAGATCTAGAACCTCATCCGGTCAGCTACTCCCAAGAAGAGTCAGCCGGCCAAGAAGCCTTCTTCTAGCAAAAAGGCTATTAAAGACCGGGTCCCTACCCCTCATCCAAAGCCGAAGGAGGGGGAGGGCCTCAAGTTCGATCAAAACCGGCTCCGCTTCCCACAAGCGGAGCTCAGAAAACCCATCCGGCACTTGCAGCCGGATGGTTCAAAAAAGATATTCTCTGACGCCCGGACGTTTCTCCAAGAAAAGAGAAGTCTGGCGTCTGCGTCGGCTTCAACATCGACCTTTCCAGATAGTTTCCGTGACACCTCTAACAGGCGTACGGGAACAAGTCTAAGGAGCCAAACGGGCGAACCATCCGCCCGGTCTGGACCCAAAGTGATCCAATCTGGTCTGTTCGGTTCGCCGAATGGGCTGGGTGGATCCCCTTTTACCCAAACGGGTCCGTTTGGCAGAAATACGCAGCAGCCGTTCCAACTCATGGATTGGCAGCAGCGCCTACTAAATCTGGGAGAACAGCCCTCGGCGTTCTCCCCTGAGATAACCCAGGCGGCACAGCCGGCCAAGATAAAAAACGTGTTGGTAGGCGCTTATGATGGTACCTCCAACCCTGAAGATCATTTAATGGCTTATTCCAACCTCATGTACCTACAGGGGTTGGATGATGTCGTCTGGTGTCGATGCTTCCCGGCTACCCTGAAGGGCATTACCTAACGCTGGTTTGGTAATTTACCAGCCGGCTGCATCAACAGCTTCAAGACCTTGGCGTACTTGTTTACGTCAAACTTCTCAATGAACATTCCGGCTAAAAAGACAAGCCTCGATCTGGGGGCAATACAGCAGGGTGACAGAGAAGGACTCCGGTCGTATGTCAGGCGGTTCAATCTGATGAGAATTCAGATTCAAGGACCGTCTAATGAAGTTGCTTATACAGACTTCTTTAAAGGTCTGAAGGATGGGTCAACTTTCAAGTTTGACCTCGTCCGGAAAAGGGTAGCCACCCTCCAAGAGGCGTTAATGGAAGCTGAAGCCTACATACAGGCGACGGAGCTTTGTGCCGTGAAGCAGTCGTCGGATTTCAAAAAATCCGACAGAAGAGACAGCCGGCAACAACAACAACAACAGCCGGCTAAAAAGGAAGAAAAGAAGAGAAAGGAGGTCTGGGCGGCATACCGATCTGGTCAGCCGGCTCAGAAGCTCAGACGGAAATCTGAACCGTACGTTCCCAAGTACGAGTTCACAAAGAACTACTCCTCCATCCTCATGGAGATCAAGGACCGGATGTCTCTCGACAAGCCGACTGTGATGAAAAGCCCCGTAGGCAGCCGGGACAAAAGCAAATACTGCCAATACCATGAGGATGTTGGCCATAACACTAATGGTTGCTATAGCCTCAGGCGGCTATTAGACCGTCTGGCTGATGAAGGGGCTCTAAAGTCTTATCTGCCCAAAGCCTAGGGAAACACCCTGGCCAAGAAAAGGCAGGCGGAAAAAGCTGTTCTTGCCAGTTCAGAAACGGATGAAGAGACAATCTTCACAATCGCAGGCGGCTTTGCCGGTGGGGGTCCCACTATCCGGGGCACCAAAGATAACACCAGGAAGCTGGTTAACCTAGTTGAGGAGACCCAGGCGTCGAAAGACATATTTCCTGAGGTCCTTATTTCTGAAAAGGACCGGGGCAAGGTCAGACGGCCTCACGATGACCCCATAGTCATCGAATGCAAGGTTGCCAATCAGAGAGTTGGCCGGATCTTAATAGATACCGGGAGCTCATCTGACCTAATCAGTTATCAGTGCTTGACCAAGCTCAAGTACAAATCCAATAGCATGCACCAGGCGCCCCACCCGCTTGTTGGTTTTGGGGGAGGTGTAGTGCATCCGGTAGGGAGCATAGATCTTCCAATCCGGCTGGGTGAAAAGGGGGAAGGACGCCACATGGTGATTAAATTCCTGGTTGTAGAAGAGCTTGCCGCCTACAACATGATTTTTGGTCGTCTGACCCTCAATGAGTCCAAAGCTGTCATCGTTCCTTCTCTCATGCTTGTAAAATTTGAAAAGGACGATGGTACAGTAGGTTCCCTTAAAGGGGACCAGAGGACGGCTAGGGAGTGCTATCTCTCTAACGTTAGACCTACTATGGGGGCAGCCGGAGACGGCCACCCCATAGACCTTGATAACTGCGATGCAGCAGTCCCGACTCCAAGGGCAGCCGGTAAGAAAAGAAAGGCGGGCCAGACGGATCCCGTCAAACAAGAAAAATAGCAATCACTAGCCGGGGAAAGGTCAGATGACCTACGACCTCAGCCAGCTGGTGACTGCATTGATGTCGTCCTCGATGACAGCCATCCTGAGAGAACTGTCAAGGTTGACAGAACAGAGCATGC